CACCCCCAACCTCCTTTTATCACAACATTTTCAATTCGCGTCCAAATGGGCTCATCTTTTGCACATGTCTTCTTCTATATATAATGCCTCAATATACCGAAGATCAGCTTCGTCAGGCTCTCGAGGACATCTCAAACGGCAAGAGTCAAAAGAGAGCCTCATTGGAGTATGGGATACCACGATCAACCCTCCAACTACGTCTCCAAGGTGGTCAGACTAGGAGGGTGGCTTTTGCTGACTGGCAGAGGCTGTCTCCTGACCAGGAGAGCAAGCTGGCACAATGGGTTCGCATTCAGGCTTCGCTGGGCCTCGCACCAACGCACCAACAGGTGAAGGAATTCGCAGAGCGAGTTCTGGTTGCTGCTGGGGATACTAAACCATTGGGAAAAGGCTGGATCCATGCCTTCGTGAGGAGGAACCCTATCATTAAGGTTCAGAGAAGTCGTTCCATCGATTCTAGACGCGTTAATGGGGCATCCACTGAGGTCATTAGGAACTGGTTTAAGTTCCTTGCTATCCCTGAGATCAAGGACATCAAACCAGCCAACAGATATAATATGGATGAGACTGGCATCCTCGAGGGTCAGGGAGCTAATGGGTTAGTGCTGGGTATGGCTGAGACGACGTCTGTTCGCAAGAAACAACCTGGGTCGAGGGCATGGGTCTCTATCATTGAGTGTATCTCAGCCTTGGGTAGGGCACTTCGTCCCCTTATTATTTTCAAGGGAAAGACAGTCCAACAGCAGTGGTTTCCATTACATCTAGTTCCATACGATGGGTGGGAGTTCACAGCAACAGATAATGGCTGGACTACAGACTTAACTGCCATTGAATGGTTAGAGAAGGTGTTCATCCCACAGACTATGCCTGAGACTGAGGGGGAGGCTCGATTATTGATTGTGGATGGGCATGGGAGTCATACGACGACAGACTTTATGTGGAATTGCTATATTAACAACATCCATTTACTGTTCTTACCACCACACTCCTCTCATGTCCTCCAGCCTCTTGACCAGTCTGTCTTCAGCCCTGTTAAGTCAGCCTATCGGAAGGAGCTCGGCTACCTGTCTCAATGGAACGATTCTACCATTATAGGTAAAAGGAACTTCCTGGACTGTTACCAGAAGGCTCGACTTGCTGGTCTATCAGTCTCGAACATCAGAAGTGGTTGGAAGTGGACTGGTCTACACCCTGTAGCTCTGGTTAAGCCCCTGATGAACCCCATGGTACTACCTGAGCCTCCTGCTAAGCCCACCACACCCAAAACAACCAGTCAGGGCAGAAAGCGATGCCATAATGGTCAACAAACTACCCCAGTTGAGCCATGGGATTCTGCTTCCTCTGCAGTGGTCTGGTCGACACCCAGGAAGCTGGCAGAGCTCAGCGGTCAACTGCACTTATACACCCAACTCGACAATGATACCAGCACTCAACGGCTGCTGTTCAGAAAGGTGAAAAAAGGCTTCACAGAGCAGGCCTGGCAACTGGCAGCTGCCCAGCAGCAACTGGCTCAGCTGAGGGCTCAAGTTACCAACGCTGCAGTGAGGAAGAGGAAGACTGTTCAAATCGATCCCAATACGAAGTTCGCGAACATCAGGGATATCCATCGGGCTCAAATCGAAGCGGGTGAAAAGGAGGTTATCACGGCTGAATCCAGCGACTCTGAATGCCCTAGTGAGGCTGGCAGCTGTATT